GCCTCACTTGAGCTACTTCAGAAATTTGTTCTCTTTAAAGATTAACTGAAATGGAGAGGCTTTACGGGTTTCAGACTCTTTCTGGCCACACAAAGATAGAGTGTAAATGTTAACCGTTTGTTCCACGGAGGACTAAACCTTTTCATTTCAGAACACGAACAGTCCGAGCCTTTCTAGAGTCCTACCGCTCGCCTGAGGAAAGATCTGGAACCACGACTGGTGGATTGTCCGTATCTCCGATAAAATGACACGTAGTCAAAGGACAACTACTTCCAGATATTGATGTGGTTATTGATGCATCCAGAAGATTGAGCCGTGACTCCTTCCCATCATCAAGGTGTCTTTTCCAGCAGTTGGACTATAGCTAGACTTAGACCTTGGGGGGCCCAGGTCATTTTGGGTTCAGGGGGCCCCTCATGCACAGAGCTGATTTATATTCTTAATGACAGTAACTTTTTTTTAAAATACACAACAAAACTAAATTCTGAGGTCATGCAGGTCAGGCGCGCACACACGCAGTCCTAGGCCGCCTTCCATAAGCGTTCTGTCCGTGGTTTGCTTGAGCCGACAAAATTTGTTTTTAAAAATGATAAAATATACCAATCCAGAGGAAAAACGTTTACAGATGATGGCCGGCAAAATATTACTTCCCAACATACATTTCATAAAAGAAAGTATTTAAAAAAAAAAAAACGCTCCTCCTCTTGGCAGCAGCATTTAGGCAAGCGTTTGGGTGTTGATTCATTTCATTGGACAGAATAATCATTTATCCTGCCCATTAAAATGAAATAATGCTCATGTCTTCCTCCAACCATCCATGTCTCCCTCCAACCGTCCATGTCTCCCTCCAACCGTCCATGTCTCCCTCCAACCTTCCATGTCTCCCTCCAACCTTCCATGTCTCCATCCAACCTTCCATGTCTCCCTCCAACCGTCCATGTCTCCCTCCAACCGTCCATGTCTCCCTCCAACCGTCCATGTCTCCCTCCAACCTTCCATGTCTCCCTCCAACCGTCCATGTCTCCATCCAACCTTCCATGTCTCCATCCAACCTTCCATGTCTCCATCCAACCGTCCATGTCTTCCTCCAACCGTCCATGTCTCCCTCCAACCGTCCATGTCTCCATCTATCCGTCCATGTCTCCATCTATCCGTCCATGTCTCAATCTATCCGTCCATGTCTCCATCCAACTGTCGATGTCTCCATCCAACCGTCGATGTCTCCATCCAACCATCCATGTCTCCATCTATCTATCCATGTCTCCATCTATCCATCCATGTCTCCATCCAACCATCCATGTCTCCATCTATCCATCCATGTCTCCATCCAACCATCCATGTCTCCAACCATCCATCCATCCATGTCTCCATCCATACATCCATGTCTTCATCCATGCATCCATGTCTCTATCCATCCATCCATGTCTCTTTCCAATCATCCATGTCTCCATCCAACCAACCATCCATGTCCCCATCCAACCATCCATGTCCCCATCCAACCATTTCCCCATCCAACCATCCATGCCTCCATCCAACCATCCATGTCTCCATCCATCCATGTCTCCATCCATGCATGTCCCCATCCAACCATACATGTCCCCATACAACCATCCATGTCCCCATCCAACCATCTATGTCTCCATCCATGTATATCCCCATCCATCCATGTCTCCATCCATGCATGTCCCCCCCATCCATCCATGTCTCCATCCATCCATGTCTCCATCCATGCATTTCTCCATCCACCCATCTATGTCTCCATCCAACCATCCATCCATGTCTCGATCTATGCATGCCCCCATCCATCCATGTCTTGATCCATCCATCCATGTCTCCATCCATCTATGTCTCCCCATTTATCCATGTCTCCATCCATCCATATGTCCCCCATCCATCCATGTCTCCATCCATGTCTCCATCCATCCATGTCTTCATCCATCATTCCATCCATATCTCCATCCATCCATCCATTTATCCATGCATCCATCTAGGTCTCCCTAACCCATCCATGTGTCCCCTATCCATCCATGTGTCCCCTATCTATCCATCCATGTTTCCATCCATGTCTCCCCCAATCATTCATGTCTCCATCCATCCATGTGTCCCCCCTCCATCCATATCTCCATTCATACATCCATCCATGTCTCCATCAATCCATCCATGCTTTATTTTGCTGAGAATTCACTTTGAAAAACACTCCTGTAGCATTTCTAGCCATGGCCATCTTAAAGCTGAGCTCCACCCAAAAGTGGAAGTTCCTCTTTACAGACTGGTCCCCCGCTCCCCATTAAAGATTGGCACCTTTGGGGACAGGTCCCAGAAGACGACGGGGTCATTCAGGAAGCGCAGCACTACTCGTGCATGCGCAGTGGGCACCCGGCTGTGAAGCCACAAGCTGTCACAGCCAGGTGCCCACACTGAAGATGCCGGCGCCGGGGAGAGAAAGACGGCCGGTAAAACGGGCTGCGGGGAGGACACCGCAGGATCATGGGACAGGTGAGTGGCTGTTTTTTTAGAAAAACAGCTACAGTTTTTGTAGCTGCTGACTTTTCTTTTTTTTACAGCATGAGTGGAACTTCACTTTAAATAAGGATTAATGTAACATTTACCTCCTGGAATCCATCTGCCCTCAGCTCAGGCATGCAGGCAGGAGGGTGTGCTTAGCTGAGAAAGCCCCTCCTCCCCTCCTGCTATGAAGATTCTTGGGATGTATGACATAATTTTAGCCTAGGCCAGAAACCAGGAGTACATTGAAGAAATGTAAAAAAATCAATAAAAAAGATAAAACAAGTATAACAAATCTTCTTATGTATTTTCCTAATACCCAGCAATCTTCTGGTTGGTCCTCGAATGTCATGGGCCTTGTTGACCTAAAGGAGGCCTTCAAAGGCAAGAGACAGCAAGTCCAAGTCTGATTTTTCCAAAAAAAAGCAATGCTTGGCCTATAATTTATTTAACACGTAATCAGTTTTAGCTGCTCAAGTTTTGCAGGTTTCATTTAAGGCTAAATCCACCCAATATGCACCGTATTGCCAAACGTATTGGGCCGCCTGCCGCTCCACACCCATGTCTTTATGGACCTTGTGCACTGGTGGGCAGTCATGTTGGAAAAGGAAGGGGCCATTCCCAAACTCCTCCCACAAAGTTGGGAGCAGGAAATTGTCCAAAATGTCGCCTTAAGAGTTCCCTTCACTGGAACTAGGGGGCCAAGTCCAACCCCTGAAAAACACCCCCACATCATAATCACCCCTCCACCAAACTTTACACTTGGCACAATGCAGTCAGGCAAGTACCGTTCTCCTGGCAACTGCCAAACCCAGACATGTCCATCGGATTGCCAGACAGAGAAGTGTGATTGGTCCCTCCAGAGAACACGTCTCCCCTGCTCTAGAGTTCAGTGGCAGCGTGCTTTACACCACGCCATCCAACGCTTTGCATTGCACTTGGTGATGGAAGGCTTGGATGCAGCTGCTTGGCCATGGAAATCCATTCCATGAAGCTCTCTACGCACTGTTGTTGGGCTCATCATCTGAAGGCCACACCAAGTTTGGAGGTCTTTAGCTATTGACTCTCCAGACAGTTGGTGACTTCTGCGCACTGTGCGCTTCAGCATGTGCTGACCCCGCCCTGTCATGTGACGAGGCCTACCACTTGGTGGCTGAGTGGCTGTTGTTCCCAGTTGCTTCCACTTTGTTATAATCCCACTAACAGTTGAGCGTGGAATATTTAGTAGTCAGGAAATGTCACGGATGGACTTATTGCCCAAGAGGCCACCTATCACGGGACCACGCTTGGAGTCACTGAGATCCTGAGAGCGACCCATTCTTTCATCAATGTTTGTAGAAGCAGTCTGCATGCCTAGGGGCTTGATTGTATACACCTGTGTCCATGGAGGGGATTGGAACACCTGAATCACATGATATGGAGGGGATTGGAACACCTGAATCACATGATATGGAGGGGATTGGAACACCTGAATCACATGATATGGAGGGGATTGGAGCACCTGAATCACATGATACGGAGGGGATTGGAACACCTGAATCACATGATATGGAGGGGATTGGAGCACCTGAATCACATGATATGGAGGGGACTGGAACACCTGAATCACATGATTGGGAGGGATTGGAACACCTGAATCACATAATATGGAGGTGATTGTCACACCTGAATCACATGACTGGGAGGGGATTGGAGCACCTGAATCACATGATATGGAGGGGATTGGAGCACCTGAATCACATGATTGTGAGGGGATTGGAACACCTGAATCACATGATATGGAGGGATTGGAACACCTGAATCACTTGACATGGAGGGGATTGGAACACCTGAATCACATGATATGGAGGAGATTGGAACACCTGAATCACATGATTTGGAGGGGATTGGAACACCTGAATCACATGATATGGAGGGGATTGGAACACCTGAATCACATGATATGGAGGGGATTGAAACACCTGAATCACATGATATGGAGGGATTGGAACACCTGAATCACATGATTGGGAGGGGATTGGAACACCTGAATCACATGATTGGGAGGGGATTGGAACACCTGAATCACATGATATGGAGGGGATTGGAACACCTGAATCACATGATATGGAGGGGATTGGAACACCTGAATCACATGATATGAAGGGGACTGGAACACCTGAATCACATGATTGGGAAGGGATTGGAACACCTGTATCATGTGATTGGGAGGGGATTGGAACACCTGTATCACGTGATTGGGAGGGACTGGAACACCTGAATCACATGATATGGAGGGGATTGGAACACCTGTATCACATGATTGGGAGGGATTGGAACACCTGTATCACATGATTGGGAGGGGATTGGAACACCTGAATCACATGATATGGAGGGGACTGGAACACCTGAATCACATGATTGGGAGGGGAATTGGAACACCTGTATCACATGATTGGGAGGGGATTGGAACACCTGTATCACATGATTGGGAGGGATTGGAACACCGGAATCATATGATTGGGAGGGAATTGGAGCACCTGAATCACATGATATGGAGGGGATTGGAACAACTGAATCACATGATATGGAGGGGATTGGAGCACCCGAATCACATGATTGGGAGGGGATTGGAACACCTGAATCACATGAATGGGAGGGGATTGGAACACCTGAATCACATGATATGGAGGGGATTGGAAAACCTAAAATCACATGATATGGAGGGGATTGGAACACCTGAATCACATGATTGGAAGGGATTGGAGCACCTGAATCACATGATTGGGAAGGAATTGGAGCACCTGAAATCACATGATATGGAGGGGGAATTGGAACACCTGAATCACATGATATGGAGGAGATTGAACACCTGAATCACATTATTGGAGGGGGTTAGAACACCTGAATCACATGATATGGAGGGGATTGGAACACCTGAATCACATAATATGGAGGGGATTGGAACACCTGAATCACATGATATGGAGGGGATTGGAACACCTGAATCACTTGATATGGAGGGGATTGAAACACCTGAATCACATGATATGGAGGGGATTGGAACACCTGAATCACATGATTGGGAGGGGATTTGAAACACCTGAATCACATGATATGAGGGGATTGAACACCTGAATCACATGATATGGAGGGGATTGGAACACCTGAATCACATGATATGGAGGGGGTTGGAACACCTGAATCACATGATATGGAGGGATTGGAACACCTGAATCACATGATATGGAGGAGATTGGAACACCTGAATCACATTATTGGAGGGGATTACATGATATGAACACACTGAATCACATGATATGGAGGGGATTGGAACACCTGAATCACATGATATGGAGGGGAATGGAACACCTGAATCAATTGATATGGGAGGGGGATTGAAACACCTGAATCACATGATATGGTGGGGATAGGAACACCTGAAATCACATGATTGGGGAGGGGATTGGAACACCTGAATCACATGATATGGAAGGGATTGGCACACCTGAATCACATGATATGGAGGGGATTGGAACACCTGAATCACATGATATGAAGCGGACTGGAACACCTGAATCACGTGATTGGGAGGGGATTGGAACACACTGTCTCATGTGAATGGGGGGGGATTGGAACACCTGTATCACATGATTGGGAGGGGATTGGAACACCTGAATTACATGATTGGGAGGGGATTGGAAACACCTGAATCATATGATATGGAGGGGACTGGAACACCTGAATCACATGATATGGAGGGGATTGGAACACCTGAATCACATGATGATTGGGAGGGGATTGGAAAACCTTCACCTGAATCACATGATTGGGGGGGGTTGGAATTGGAGGAGCCTGAATCACATGATATGGAGGGAATTGGAACACCTGAATCACATGATATGGAGGGGATTGGAACACCTGAATCACATGATATGGAGGGGATTAGAACACCTGAATCACATGATATGGAGGGGATTGGAACACACTGAATCACATGATATGGAGGGGATTGGAACACCTGAATCACATGATATGGAGGGGATTGGAACACCTGAATCACTTGATATGGAGGGGATTGAAACACCTGAATCACATGATATGGTAGGGGATTGGAACACCTGAATCACATGATTGGGGAGGGGATTTGGAACACCTGAATCACATGATATGGAGGGGATTGGAACACCTGAATCACATGATATGGAGGGGATTGGAACACCTGAATCACATGATATGAAGGGGACTGGAACACCTGAATCACATGATTGGGAAGGGATTGGAACACCTGTATCATGTGATTGGGAGGGGATTGGGAACACCTGTATCACGTGATTGGAGAGGGATTGGAACACCTGAATCACATGATATGGAGGGGACTGGAACACCTGAATCACATGATATGGAGGGGATTGGAACACCTGAATCACATGATTGGGAGGGGATTGGAACACCTGAATCACATGATTGGGGAGGGGATTGGAACACCTGAATCACATGATTGGGAGGGGATTGGAAACCTGAATCACATGATATGGAAGGGAATTGGAACACCTGAATCACATGATATGGAGGGGGATTGGAACACCTGAATCACATGATATGGAGGGAGATTGGAACACCTGAATCACATTATTGGAGGGGGTTGGAACACCTGAATCACATGATTGGAGGGGATTTGGAACACCTGAATCACATGATATGGAGGGGATTGGAACACCTGAATCACATGATATGGAGGGGATTGGAACACCTGAATCACTTGATATGGAGGGGATTGAAACACCTGAATCACATGATATGGAGGGGATTGGAACACCTGAATCACATGATTGGGAGGGGATTGGAACACCTGAATCACATGATATGGAGGGATTGGAACACCTGAATTCACATGATATGGAGGGGATTGGAACACTTGAATCACATGATATGGAGGGGATTGGAACACCTGAATCACATGATATGGAGGGGATTGGAACACCTGAATTTGATATGGAGGGGATTGGACACCTGAATCACATGATATTGGAGGGGGATTAGAAACACCTGAATCACATGATTGGAGGGGATTATTGGAACACCTGAATCACATGATATGGAGGGGACTGGAACACCTGAATCACATGATTGGGAGGGGATTGGAACACCTGAATCACATGATATGGGAGGGGATTGGAACACCTGAATCAATGATATGGAGGGGGATTGGAAACCTGAATCACATGATATGGAGGGGATTGGAGAAACCTGAATCACATGATTGGAGGGATTTGGAACACCTGAATCACATGATACGGAGGGATTGGAAGCACCTGAATCACATGATATGGAGGGGATTGGAACACCTGAATCACATGATATGGAGGGGATTGGAGCACCTGAATCACATGATATGGAGGGGATTGGAACACCTGAATCACATGATATGGAGGGGATTGGAACACCTGAATCACATGATATGGAGGGGATTGGAACACCTGAATCACATGATTATGGAGGGGATTGGAACACCTGAAATCACATGATATGGAGGGGATTGGAACACCTGAATCACATGATATGGAGGGGATGGAACACACACTTGAATCACATGATATGGAGGGGATTGGAACACCTGAATCACATGATATGGAGGGATTTGGAACACCTGAATCACCTTATGAATCACACATTGAGGGGATGGAACACCTGAATCACATGATATGGAGGGGATTGGAACACCTGAATCACATGATATGGAGGGGATTGGAACACCTGAATCACATGATATGGAGGGGATGAACACCTGAATCACATGATATGGGAAGGGATTGGAACACCTGGAATCACATGATATGGGAGGGATTGGAACACCTGAATCACATGATATGGGAGGGGATTGGAACACCTGAATCATGATATGGAGGGGGATTGAAACACCTGAATCACATGATATGGAGGGGATTGGAACACCTGAATCACACATGATTGGGAGGGGATTGGAACACCTGAATCACATGATTGGGAGGGGGATTGGAACACCTGAATCACATGATTGGAGGGGATTGGAACACCTGAATCACATGATATGAAGCGGACTGGAACACCTGAATCACCTGATTTGGGAGGATTGGAGGGGATTGGAACACCTGGAATCATATGATTGGGGGGGGGATTGGAACACCTGTATCACATGATATGGAGGGGATTGGAAAACACCTGTATCACATGATTGGGAGGGGATTGGAACACCTGAATCACATGATATGGAGGGGATTGGAACACCTGAATCACATGATATGGAGGGGATTGGAACACCTGAATTACATGATTGGGAGGGGATTGGAACACTGAATCACATGAATGGGAGGGGATTGGAACACCTGAATCACATGATATGGAGGGGATTGGAGCACCTGAATCACATGATATGGAGGGGATTGGAACACCTGAATCACATGATTTGGGAGGGGATTGAACACCTGAATCACATGATTGGGAGGGGATTGGGGGATTGGAAACACCTGAATCACATGATTGGAGGGGATTGGAACACCTGAATCACATGATATGGAGGGGATTGGAACACCTGAATCACATGATATGGAGGGGATTGGAACACCTGAATCACATGATATGGAGGGATTGGAACACCTGAATCACATGATCGGAGGGGATTGGAACACCTGAATCACATGATATGGAGGGGATTGGAACACCTGAATCACATGATATGGAGGGGATTGGAACACCTGAATCACATGATATGGAGGGGATTGGAACACCTGAATCACATGATATGGAGGGGATTGGAACACCTGAATCACATGATATGGAGGGGATTGGGACACCTGAATCACATGATTGGGAGGGTGCGGCTGAATACTTTGGACAATATAGTGCATATTGCTATCATATCGTATGTAAAGTCCTCCCAGGCCTCGACAACTGCTGCATGGCAAAGCATGCTGGGAACGGTTTCCTTCGCCAGGCTGTCCCTTTGTATGTGATGACATCATCACGCTACATCAGTACGACGCTTGTGTCTTCCATCTCACGGGGCTGGAGCTCCCTCACTGTGGGGATAATGACGTATTCTGTGTATTTTTGGGGCGCAGGATGAAGCACTCGACGTTTATTTTTATTTTTCAGGTGATAATTAAAATGTCGTTATATCGCTTTTGGATGATTACAAGTCGGAATGTTTTCTGTGAGGACTCTGCGGTACGCCGATCACATCACAGGAGGACAGAGGTGCATTCTACACACCACGGGGGACACGGGGGATCGGAGTGTGGCCTATCGCTGCACCGAGATCCCAAGATGACTGATATGCGAGGCTCGGTTCATTACCAATCGAAATTCGGATGAAATGTTCACTATTCAGAGATTCGGATTTATCCAAATCTCCAAATGACAATAGTAACAAATTTCAATGAAATAACACATTAAATTTCATCTGAAATAATAATTATCTGAATTCGATTATTGCCGATTTCCTTCAAAGTCTGTGCGAATTAGTGTTAGAATACAGCTGTCTTCTGACATTCAAATTTCAAAATGAAATAGAATAAAATAAAACAGAATTGAATAAAATGGTATAGAATACAAAATAAAAAAATGAAATAGAAAAGGAATAGAACAAAATAAACTGAATATAGCCATCTTCTAAAAATTCGAATTTCAAAAAGAATAGAATAGAAAATAATAGAGTAGAACAGAATAGAAAATACTAGAATAGCGCGGAATAGAAAATAATAGAATAGAACAGAAAAGAATGATATAGAAAATAATGGAATAGAAAAGAATAAAATGGAAAAAATAGAATAGAATAAAATAGAATATAGCTGTCTTCCAAAATTCTACTTTTTGAATAGACTAGAATAAAATATAGAATATAAATATTTTATATACATATATATATTTATATATATATATTTTATTATGAATATATATATATATATATATATATATATATTATATATTAATATAATTATTATGAATATATATATATATATATTTAATATGATATATATATATATATATATATATATTTATTATGAATATATATATATATATATAGTATATATATATATATATATATATATATATATATATATATATATATATATATATTTAATATGAATATATATATATATATATATATATTTATATATATAAATATATGTATATATATTTATTTATTTATATATTATATATATTTATTTATTATATAAATATGATATATGATGATATATATATATATATATATATATATATATATATATATATATATATATATATATAAAATATGGAAGATTATATATAACAGAATATAATAAAACAGATAATAGAAAGAAAATAAAGAATACACAATAGAAAATAACAGATATAGATAGAGAATAGGATAGAAAATAAGAGAATACAATAAAAAAAGAATGCATAGAATAGAAGAGAAAAAAATAGAATAGAATAAAAACATAAAGAATATAGCGCGTGTTCTGCAGATCAAATTTCTAAAAGAATAAAATGGAATAAAAACACAATAGAATTAAAAATAAAAAGAATACAATAGAATGGAATAGAGTATAAAAGAATAGAATAGAATAAAATAAAATAGAATATAATAGAAAGAATAGAGCGGTCTTTCGAAATTCAAATTTTAAAAAGAACAGAATAAAATAGAAAGAATATACAGTAGCTGTCTAAGAAAGAATAGAAAAAAAAAAATCGAATAGAAAATAAAGGAAAAAGAATACAATAGAAAAGAATAGAATACAAAAAAAGAACAAAAAAAGATTCAAAACAGAATAGAATAAAATAGAAAGAATATACATTATTGTCGTCTTCCAAAAAATTCGAAAAGAATAGAATAAAAACAGAATAGAATGGAAAAGAAAAATAATATAATAAATAAATTAATAGTATGGAAAACAATAGAATATATATTAGAAGAGAATAAAATAGAAAGAATATAGTTATCCTCCGAAATTCAAATTTCAAATAGATTAGAACCAGCTATTCTTCACAATAAATTTGGATGGATTCGATATTTTTGATTTTATATTTTTTTATCTGAATACTTCGAATCCATTGAAAAACAAATAAATGAAACAAAAGGAAACACATTTTCTTTGTTCTGCAGGTCACATGACTAATGGAGATCACATTCAGACTCAGCCTAAGCCTGCTATTCCATGTGATTGCTGCCAGGAACACTGACCGGGGATGAGGACTCCCGACAGGAGAAATAATACAAATATTTGTTCTTGGAACGCCGCAATTCTGTTCTCATCTCCCTGAAAAAATGAGATTGAGGTACCGCATTGTGGACTGAAGTCCCCCAGCACTACTGATCCCCCCCTCATAGTACCCACAGCTCTGCTGATCCCCCCCCCCTCATAGTACCCCCAGCTCTGCTGATCCCCCCCTCATAGTACCCCCAGCTCTACTGATCCCCCCCTCATAGTACACCACAGCTCTACTGATCCCCCCCCTCATAGTACCCCCAGCTCTGCTGATCCCCCCTCATAGTACCCCACAGCACTACTGATCCCCCTCTCATAGTACCCCCAGCTCTGCTGATCTCCCGCTCAGTAGTACCCACAGCTCTGATGATCTCCCCTCTTAGTAGTACCCACAGCTCTGCTGATCCCCCCCCTCAGTAGTACCCACAGCTCTGCTGATCCCCCCTCAGTAGTACCCACAGCTCTGCTGATCTCCCCCTCAGTAGTACCCACAGCTCTGATGATCCCCCCGCTTAGTAGTACCCACAGCTCTGCTGATCATCCCCCTCAGTAGTACCCACAGCTCTGCTGATCCCCCCCATAGTACCCACAGCTCTGCTGATCTCTCCCTCAGTAGTACCCACAGCTCTGCTGATCTCCCACTCAGTAGTACCCACAGCTCTGCTGATCCCCCCTCAGTAGTACCCCAGCTCTGCTGATCCCCCCTCAGTAGTACCCACAGCTCTGCTGATCCCCCCTCAATAGTACCCACAGTTCTGATGATCCCCCCCCCTCATAGTACCCACACAGCTCCGCTGATCCCCCTCAGTAGTACCCACAGCTCTGCTGATCCCCCCCTCAGTAGTACCCACAGCTCTGCTGATCCCCCCTCAGTAGTACCCCAGCTCTGCTGATCCCCCCCTCAGTAGTACCCACAGCTCTTGATCCCCCCTCAGTAGTACCCACAGCTCTGCTGATCCCCCCCTCATAGTACCCACAGCTCTGCTGATCTCCCGCTCAGTAGTACCCCCAGCTCTGCTGATCCCCCCTCAATAGTACCCACAGCTCTGATCCCCCCCTCAGTAGTACCCCCAGCTCTGCTGATCCCCCCCTCAGTAGTACCCACAGCTCTGCTGATCCCCCCCACTAGTAGCCCACAGCTCTGCTGATCATCCCCCCTCAGTAGTACCCACAGCTCTGCTGATCTCCCGCTCAGTAGTACCCACAGCTCTGCTGATCTCCCCCTCAGTAGTACCCACAGCTCTGATGATCCCCCCGTCATAGTACCCACAGCACTGCTGATCTCCCGCTCAGTAGTACCCACAGCTCTGCTGATCTCCCGCTCAGTAGTACCCACAGCTCTGCTGATCCCCCCCTCAGTAGTACCCCCAGCTCTGCTGATCCCCCCCCTCAGTAGTACCCACAGCTCTGTTGATCCCCCCCTCAGTAGTACCCACAGCTCTGCTGATCCCCCCTCATAGTACCCACAGCTCTGCTGATCTCCCCGCTCAGTAGTACCCACAGCTCTGATGATTCCCCTCTTAGTAGCACCCACAGCTCTGCTGATCATCCACTCAGTAGTACCCACAGCTCTGCTGATCCCCCCCTCATAGTACCCACAGCTCTGCTGATCTCCCGCTCAGTAGTACCCACAGCTCTGCTGATCTCCCGCTCAGTAGTACCCCAGCTCTGCTGATCCCCCCCTCAGTAGTACCCCCAGCTCTGCTGATCCCTCCCTCAGTAGTACCCACAGCTCTGCTGATCCCCCCTCAGTAGTACCCACAGCTCTGCTGATCCCCCCCTCATAGTACCCACAGCTCTGCTGATCTCCCCCTCAGTAGTACCCACAGCTCTGCTGATCTCCCGCTCAGTAGTACCCACAGCTCTGCTGATCCCCCCCTCAATAGTACCCACAGCTCTGATGATCCCCCCGTCATAGTACCCACAGCACTGCTGATCCCCCGCTCAGTAGTACCCACATCTTTGCTGATCCCCCCATCATAGTACCCACAGCACTGCTGATCTCCCCACTCAGTAGTACCCACAGCTCTGCTGATCTCCCGCTCAGTAGTACCCACAGCTCTGCTGATCCCCCCCTCAGTAGTACCCACAGCTCTGCTGATCCCCCCCTCAGTAGTACCCACAGCTCTGCTGATCCCCCCCTCAGTAGTACCCACAGCTCTGCTGATCCCCCCCCTCATAGTACCCACAGCTCTGCTGATCTCCCTGCTCAGTAGTACCCACAGCTCTGCTGATCCCCTGCTTAGTAGTACCCACAGATCTGCTGATCATCCACTCAGTAGTACCCACAGCTCTGCTGATCCCCCCTCATAGTACCCACAGCTCTGCTGATCTCCCGCCTCAGTAGTACCCACAGCTCTGCTGATCTCCCGCTCAGTAGTACCCACAGC